TTTAATTTATGAAACTATCAGTATACCTATAAGTGCACTTTTAGTATAGTTGCAGTACAAACTAAACATTTTGATGTAAACTAGTTGTGTACTCAAAGTTTACTACTGTTATACTTAAAAGTATACTTTTATATATTAGAAAGTGGGCCAATTTAGTCCCAAGGAGTATTGAAATAGTACACTTACAAGTATACTACTAGTACACTGATATTTGTATTCTTACTACATAAAGTATACTTAAAAATGTACTTGAACTTTACTTAAGTATACTTACTAAAATAAACTTGAAGTATACTACTTTTTGGTAAGGGTTGTTGGACAACATTTAGAAATGTGAATACGAGGTTTAGCTTTAGGCATTTTAATTTAAGCATATTTAGCTTAGTTAACGGAAGGCTACCTGGGCCATCAGAGCAAGTGTAATTACTACATTCACGTGCTCCTCGAATGCTCTCATTTCCTGAGTTGTCATTTTCTCAGTCGGGAAATTATTTTTCACGTGCGGTGCCAGTGATGATGTTTCTTACGTCCGTTTCGGAGAACCAGAGGACAAATATTTCAATCGATCGCTCAGGCATGGCACCGAAATCTGCATTCTGATTCGGTTCTAGTAAATACCGGTTACATAGGTACCGGTGCCATATTGGTACCGGGTTTCTGTACCCAACCCTATTCATTGTTAGTTCATGTTAGCTGAGGATCATTAAATACTATTGACAGATACAACTTTAGATTTTTTAAATAGCCTAATGTTTTAGTAAATGTTGGAATAGACATTAAGATGAAAAGATGGTAAGAAATATTTTTCATTGTTAGTTACTATAGCACTTAACGTTAATGCAAGCTTATCATTATGTGTTACCAATGCAATGTGAGTCGCTTTGGATAAAAATGTTTGCCAAATTTTTTGGTCCTTCTCTGATCTTGAACTGCTGTTGGAAAAGATTATTTTATGTTTTACATAAAAACAACAGCACATGGTTTGGAATGACATGGGTAAATAACGAATAATAACAGAATTAAAATTTTTCTCTGAACTCTAGTTTCAAAACAACATGCCAAATGCATCCAGGATTTTTTTAACTCACTGTTACAGGTGACTCCAGCGTCCTTTAAATGTTCACAGCTCTGTATTCCCCATTTTGTTGATGTACAGTTCACCAGTGAAGCCTCACTCCCAGTACACTGTGCATCATCTATCCATACTGGTCCTACACCTGGTCCAAAATAAGCAGCACTCTTTGCCTCAATCACTTTCCCACAATCCAGCTCTTTACATACGACTGCAGCGTCCGTTAGACCCCAGCCATTATCACACACTGTTCCCCACTGATCGTCATGAAGAACCTCCACTCGTCCAGAACAAGAGTTAATGCCATTTACCAACCTTATAAAGGCTAACATAAAAAAAACAGAGAGTAAGGGATTAGAAAAGTTTGGTTCTATTCAGTATATGCAATATATATGTAGCTTTCATCCACCTTCACAGATGACTCCAGCATCTTCAGAATGCACACAGTTATGTGTTCCCCATCCAGGTGTCCCACAGAACATCAGTGAAAACTCATTGCCAACACAATTTACATCATCCATCCATATCTGTCCTGAACCTTCTCCAAAATAAGCAAAACTCTTTGCCTCGATCGCATTCCCACAACCCATCTCTCTACACACCACTGCAGCGTCTGTTAGATCCCAGACATCATCACACACTGTTCCCCATATTCCATTATGAAGAACCTCCACTCGTCCAGAACAAAATCCGATACCATTCATCAACCTCAGAAAAGCTTCGACTGGAGGTCCATTTCCAAAATCTGTATGAATTATAAAACATGTAATGGATGTGCTTATACTTCAATAAGTAATGAGTAATTCAAGAGTACTTTATGATATAGAAACATAGAAAACAATGCCTGCATGATTCTTCATACCCAATATGAGAATGAACCACAAGGAATTTAACATTGTGCCCTGAAAGAAATACAGAATTATTATTTTGACTGTGTTATGTCAGAAATCAGAAAAAAAGCAACTTCATTTAAACAGTAAAAACGTACAAAGTAGTTTCTGCACATTTTTGGCACAAAATGTCTTTACATTTATTTTTTGCAACCAGAAACCACATTTTACCCTATTTGTATTGTGCATACCAATTCAGAGTTCAATTCCATAATTCAGTAACTACAAATTATGCAATTAATTAAAAAAAGAGTGCGAGAGGGAAAGTTCAAGAGCTGGTAAGCAAACAAAATCAACTACACCAGAAATAATTACAAATACTGTCAGTATCTAATAAAATACTGTGTCTAATAAAAGCATACAGTGCAAAATACAGTACCTAATAAAATCTGTAAACTAAAGACAATGATTTATTATTAGATTTCTTTAACCTGTTAATATGTCAGTCTCTCCAGAAGCGTCTTTGTCTCTGTGACGGCATGAGATCAAGTTAAGGAGGTTTCCAGGTGATTTTATTTAGATGTAGGATCAGCTGATGTCTTGGCTCCTCCCCTCAGATGACCTTACAAGACAACGATTAATGTCAGAAAGAAAGCTCTTACTATCAAGCAGTCCATCTTTCAGAATGCAAACCCATTAAATGCTCTGAAAGTGCTTGATTAAATTGACAGACACGAAACCAAGAATACATTTCTTGTCTGTGATATTGTTGGATGGTGCATCCGATGTTTGAACAACATTTAACATGTGTTTTCATGATGTGATTTGATTTCAATGCAAATCCACTCAAATGTGAACTATGGGAATAGGAAGTTAGTGGGAACCATACTCATATAGCTGTTAAGAGAAGATCTGTCAGTTTCATGAAACTCCCTTTACAAATTTGCAAAGACATGTAAACTACATGGGGAAAAAAATGTCAACATTCACGAACGCTAGAACTTTAGATTTGTTTGAGTTTACATGAACACACTAGCCAACCCATCACGCCAGTGAGGTTCTTATGCACGAGACAAAGTACTGAATTTGAATTTTCCATAGCCAAAATGTGAAGAAACTGTTTCTATTACATCTCAGAGTTAAACTTATATCTATGAGATGCAATAAAAACAGTTCCTTCACATTTCGGGTATGGAATATACATTAGGTTAACAACACATTCACACAACAAGTCAAAAAGCTCAGATATTCATGATCAAATATTGATGAGGAGATAAGCTTGTTGTCAGTAACTTCCAATAAGCTAATTTTATGTCCCTGTAAACAAATTACATTCTACAGAATTTCCCTTAAGAGAATTAGAATGGGAGGTTTGCATATTGTTCAGGTTGAAATAATAATTTGAATATGTGCAGCACTGTAGAATTCAGCAAAACATGTTTGAATTCCTAGATGTTTTGTTTATCAAATGTGGATTTCAGTATTACTTACGTGGCAGATAAAAATTCACACGCATGTGTAAGTTCACATTTATATGAATCAGTTTTGATGGTGTTCAGGCGGAATAGTAGCTGTGGTCAAATAAGAGGAAAGCAGCCCACATAACTGGCACGCGTCCAGTTTAAATAGACTACGTACCTAAATCCCATAAGAAGAAGCTACAGACGACCATCTAGCCAGGTATTACCTTAAAAACATTTGCACATACATATAATGAGTGTTTTCTTATGCATTTAGCATACGTTTTGTTCAAGTGAGATTATAGGGGGTGTGTTTCAAATATTATTTATTTAAAACTTAAAACGGCATCAAACGTAAGATTATGTGACACTTAAAATCTTCAAACTACTTTTTAAACATTCTCAAGTGGACATAAAATTTGTCTTGACAAACTTCTTAACTTACTTTTAATAATATTGTTTGTCTCTACACTGAGTCCATACTTGTAACTTTTTAATTTTAAATGCTTACTGCCTCTTATGTGAAATTCAACAATAAAATAAAAACACGATACATTAGTAGTACTATTGAAAATGCTTAAATACTAAATTTCTTTCATGCTTTCATTCACGATTGCTAATAATAGAACCACACTGAATTTGCTTTAAAATGCATGTACATCTCTTTATAAATAAGAGCAGCAAGATGAAGCTAAAATGCTTTGTATGAAAATTCTAGAGACGATAAACCAAAGAGTATTTCATATCTAATGTCATATGAAATTTATTTGCAGCCAATATGATGTGGTCCATGCAACTCTTTTTGCTTCTGGGTAAGGAGACCGATGCACTGACACAAAACTTTGTTGTTTATCTGTCGTTGTGCCAATAATATCTTTTGAATTAAGGGCTCATATAAAAATCAATGTGCATCTGTGTGGCGATCTAACATGCAGGCTCCATAAATGTCACTACTGGAATCAGATTGGTCAATGGAGACTCTTGTTCTGGAAGAGTGGAGGTTCTTTATAATGGAATATGGGGAACAGTGTGTGATGATGGCTGGGATCTAACAGACGCTGCAGTGGTGTGTAGAGAGATGGGTTGTGGGAATGCGATCGAGGCAAAGAGTGTTGATTATTTTGGACAAGGATCAGGACAAATATGGTTGGATGATGTAAACTGTGATGGCACGGAGTCCTCACTGAAGAACTGTAGGACAAATGGATGGGGAACACATAACTGTGGACATCATGAAGATGCTGGAGTCATCTGCAACTGTGAGTCAAAAACAATCAAAGAACTGAAGTATTAATATCGCACATTTTCTTTTTATGGAATGTACTAAATAAAAGAAATTAATTTTAAAAAAGTGTAGTTTTTTTTCAAATGCCATGCCTTTTTTTCCAAAAGAAATAGATTGTTACATTGGTACATAAATATATTTAAGACAAAAACTTTTTTTTCATTTATTTTTTTTATATTATTTGTGTGGATAACAGCTGTCAGGTTGGTGAATGGCATCAACTCTTGTTCTGGAAGAGTGGAGGTTCTTCATAATGGAATATGGGGAACAGTGTGTGATGATGCCTGGGATCTAACAGACGCTGCAGTGGTGTGTAGAGAGATGGGCTGTGGGGATGTGATCGAGGCGAAGAGTGCTGCTTCTTTTGGCCAGGGATCAGGAACGATATGGATGGATGATGTACAATGTACTGGAAATGATTTTACCCTGAAAAGCTGTTCTTCAAATGGATGGGGAATACACAACTGTAACCATCAACACGATGCTGGAGTCATCTGCCAGTGTGAGTCAAAAATATTCAGAGAATTTAACATTTCTTTTAAAATAAATGCAATAGAATTGACATTATGTGTGGATAATAGCTGTCAGGTTGGTGAATGGAGACAACAAGTGCTCTGGACGAGTGGAGTTTCTTTGTGGCGGTCAGTGGGGAACAGTGTGTGATGATGGCTGGAATCTAACAGATGTTGCAGTGGTGTGTAGAGAGATTGGTTGTGGGAATGTGATTGAAGCAAAGAGTGAAGCTTATTTTGGACAAGGATCAGGACCAATATGGATGGATGATGTAAATTGCGCTGGCACGGAGTCCTCACTGATTAATTGTAGGACAAGTGGAATAAATGACTGTAGACATTTTGAAGATGCTGGAGTCATCTGCAGCTGTGACAAATTTAATATTGTACATTTTCTTTTTTAAGGTAACAAAATAAATATTAAGAAAACGTCTTTCAAATGCCATATTTCATTGGCCCTTTTCAATTACAAGACATAGTAAGGTATACAAATGCATCACATATAACAACAACTTGTCTTTCTATTATTTGTGTGGATAATAGCTGTCAGGTTGGTGAATGGCAATGACTTTTGTTCTGGAAGAGTGGAGGTTCTTCATGACGGTCAGTGGGGAACAGTGTGTGATGATGGCTGGGATCTATCAGACGCTGCAGTGGTGTGTGGAGAGACGGGTTGTGGGGATGCTATAGAGGCAAAAAGTGCTGCTTATTTTGGCCAGGGATCAGGACCAATATGGATGGATGATGTACAATGTGCTGGGAATGAATCTACACTGAAAACCTGTTCATCAAATGGATGGGGAATACACAACTGTAACCATCAACACGATGCTGGAGTCATCTGTAAACGTAAGTCAAAAGATTTGCCTTCCTGAGCAACTACCACATTTGAATTTTCAGCACATTTACACAAGGAGTGGCAGCAGATCAGTGTAATTTCAGCTGGAATGTATTACGTTTTAATATCAGTCACACACATATGCAACATCTACACTATAAAGCAACTTCATCTGGCAAATCAAATTGTACAACAAAACACAAAACCTCCATGTTTCATGAATCCATAATTAATAGAAACATCATTACTGCTGCCGTACCTATAATGTAATGTGCAAAAATAGGTTACAGCTTAGGAAAACTCCCCATTATACTGTTGAATAGGTCCTTCATTCCTACATGTTTGTTATTGTTATGTTTAGGTTCACTGAAACGGTTCCATCTTTAAAAATATTTTTTCAGAAATCAGGAAAAAGACAGTCATGAGGCTTAAATTTAATGTTGATCCAAAAACTGACCTAAATGACAAAAGAAAAAAGATGGAGATTTTGGAAAAGGTGAGCGCATGATAAAAGGTCACAGAGAACAACAACTCATGTCACACTGTAGCTGTGTATCTACTGTTATTTTTTTTTATTTAGTATATTTTTCCTTATTATTTTCACAGATAAAAGAGATATTGAAAGATTCTGGAACTTTTACCCTGCGATGGAGGACGCAATCTAATGGAGAAGTGTTTCAGAAAGTTAGGAAAAATAATAAAAATCCTCTATATTGTGAGAAAAACTTATAAACCCTTTGTTTGCTGCTATATATTTGGATTAATGTGCGATATTATATACATTGATACATTAATCACACAGCTTTCATGTTTGACTACAAGTAAATCTGACCCTACCATTAATTGTATAAAATGTTTGATTTCCATACACAACACATACAGGTGCATCTCAATAATTTGCTATTGACTGTTCAAATGCAGAGTTTTGCACATCGTGTGTGTATGTGTGCGCGCGTGTGTGTGTGTGTGAGCGAGCAAGCGAGAGAGAGAGAGAGAGAGAGATAGAGAGAAAGAGAGAGAGAGAAAGAGAGAGCACCCTCAGTGATTTGACTCTGGAGCCTGTGTTTCAGTCTTTCTTACATTCCTCTATTCATTTATATTCATTTGCTCATTCATATATTCAGTACAGTCAATCTTCCATATTTTTATCCTTCCTTAATTTTTTCATTTTGTTCATCTGTTCTTTATGTTCTTCATTCCATTATTCATTTCCCCTCCTTCCTTTTCTGTTATCCTTTATTCATTCTTTCCTTTTTTCCATTCATTCCAATTTGAGTTGAATTACTGAAATAAATGAACTTTTCCACGACATTCTAATTTATTGAGATGCACCTGTACATTATCATTTAAAGGTGAATATATTTATTTATAGAAGTGACAACCGCATTTTACGAACAAACTAACCTGAAAAATTAAGATGGTGACAATATTTACATTTATAGTGGTGTGCATTTAAATTGAGTCTCTTACAAAAAATTATTTTAAACATGAATTTGCAACATTAACCTGTTTGTCCTGTTTGATGTGTTTATATGTAGTCCAATAAGCACAAGGAAGTTTTACAATGGTCCCTGCTTTCCTTGTTCATTGTGTAACGAAATAAATCTATGGCACCTGCAAGATACAAAAAAAAAAAAAAATAGAATGAATGTAAGTAAACAGTATCCTTACGTCCAGCCTTCCTACCAAGTTACGATCCCCACTATTCCTAATTTCTGTAGTGAGGATCCTAAAGAGTTTGCACGACTCAAAATTGCACTGGAGAATTTGCTACCCGCTGAGGCTACAGAACGTTTTTAAATTCCAAATACTGATTGATCATCTGCTCATTGCAGAGTCATTTGTCAAAAGCAACATCAACAGGTATCCATATACCAACACTATGAGGTCTCTGACTGCACTTTATGGCCAACCACATCAACTCGCACTACAAAGAATTGCAGAATTGATGGATGGCCCAAAAATCAAGAGTGGCGACATTAAATCTTTCTGACTATATGCCCTCAAAGTGCTGGACCAACTTGGAGCGAAAGGACGGACAGAACTGAAAAACAGGTCGCATGTTTCACGTCTTCTAACCAAACTGCCTCATGACTTCAGAAGGTTTGTTTATCCCATTCAAATACCAGTCCCAACACTGCTAGATCTTAATGACCAGCTTAAATATGAGCACAGAATACAAGAGTACGAGTCACAGTATGCCAGTAATCCAAGCAGAGCCTACTCTCAGCCGCAGAGAGACCAGCACAGGAACCCAAAGCCAACTCAAAAATTTGCCACTGTCTTACGTGGTGGAGAACAGAGTAAACCATCAAGTGCTACAGCAATCAAGAAGGAGAAACCAAAAAGGTACTGCCCCTTTTGCAATATTGTGAAGTACTACTTCAACCAGTGTGCTAAATTCAAACGGCTGAATCAAGATCAAGTGGAGTGCTGGCTGAAGCCAAATCAGAAGTGCTTTAAGTGCAACCATGATCTTCTGATCTCACAATGTAATCTTAATATTTTAAATGCTTAACCCATTTGGCTTAGATCCAGCTCAACCTCTTACAAAGGTTCTGATTCAACATTCATACATGCATATATACATCCAGGACCTGAGTGTGTGTTCGCAGAACTGAGATGGAAATATTGGATTGAAAGAGGCAGAGAAGCAGTGAAAAAACACTAACACAGCTGCTATGAATGTAAAAAGTGACAAGGGAAACCAGGAAGTGAGTGAAGTGAAGTGACGTGTGGCCAAGTATGGTCACCCATTCTTGGAATTTGCGCTTTGCATTTAACTCATCCAAGTGCACACAAACAGTAGTGAACACACACCCGGAACAGTGGGCAGCCATATTGCTGCGGCGCCTGGGGAGCAGTTGAGGGTTTGGTGCCTTGCTGAGGGGTCTCACCTCAGTCGTGGTATTAAGGTGGAAGAGAGTGCTGTACATTCACTCCCCCCACCGACAATTCCTGCCGGACCTGAGACTCGAACCTGCAACCTTCAGGATACAAGTCTCTAACCATTAGGCCATGACTGCTCAGAAATTCCTATGATGACTGATCTTCCCCAGTCTAACCATAGACTGTTCCATCCTGCCTTCTATTCTACAGGTATTGATTGTTTTGGCCCCTTTCAAGTTAAGTTAGGTTGCAGATGTGAAAAATGCTGGGGGATATTATACAAATGCCTTACTACCAAAGATGTCATGTTGAACTCCTTTCGAGCATTGACACAGACCCCTTTCTCGTGTCACCAAGACGGTTTATAGCTCGCAGAGGGAAACCATATGAACCGCTTTCAGAATATGGCACGAATTTAAAGGGAGGTAACACAGAACTTTAGAATGCCTTCAATGCACTTCACCCAACCTTAAAAGAGCATCAACTTCCCAACATATCCATTTCCATCTGAACCCATCAAATGCACCAAATTTAGGAGGATCATGGGAGAGTGTGTTTAAATCTATCAAGACAGCACTGCATACATCTCTTGGTTCTCAATCGGTGTCAGACGAAGTGCTGAACAATGGACATGTGGAAATGGAGGGAATAATAAACTCCAGACCACTGGGAAATATTTCCTCACACACAGCCAATGCTGACCCCATAACACCTAATTCTCTCCTCATGGAACATCCCACTTCTGCATTATAAGTTGTTTACCCAGAATCAAAAATGCTCAGTTTCAAAAGATGGCACCATAGTCATATTGTAATTGAAAATTTCAGGAAATGTTTCATACGGCATTACCTCCCAGACCTGCAATGAAGGGAAAAATGGCAAAGAGAATCTAAAAACCTTCCGATCTGAAAAGTTGTGATGATTATGGATCAGCAATCACCCCAAGCTCTATGGCAAATACCGGTAGGTACTATAGCCAAGGTCTTTCCGGGATTAGATGGGCGAATTTGTACAGTTGTAGTGAATGTCAAAGACAGAAGTTACACAAGGCCTGTAGCTCGCCTAATCAGACTGCCTGCCCTACCTGATGACACCAACAAAGACGAATAGGCCTTTCTTTATTTACAAATTTGTTGAACAAATTTAGGGGTGGCTGTACAAAAGACCTAATTTTAATGATGCTGGTGCCACCTATTGGACACTTATTTTATATTTATATTTGTCACGTTTATATATATCTCTGAATCCCATGACCATTATTTCTGTCATTTCTTTAGTTTAAAGAGGTCATATGATGCGATTTCAATTTTTCCTTTCTCTTTGGAGTATTACAAGCTCTTGGTGCATAAAGAAGATCTGTAAAGTTGCAAAGACTAAAGTCTCAAATCCAAAGAGATATTCGTTATAAAAGTTAAGAGTCAACCACGCCTACCTAAAACGGCTCATTCTAACATGCCCCCATGTGTCTACGTCACGATGTGGGAAGATTTGCATAACGCCGCCCAAATGTTCACAGACGCGTTTCAGAAAGGCGGGGCATAGAGGAGAAACAATAATGTACAGTATGTGGAAAATAATGTCTTTTTTGAACCTTAAACCGCATAAACACATTTCATTACACCAAATACATAAAATAATGTTCTTTTTAGCAACATCATATGACCCCTTTAAGGCAGCAGAACTGTCAGTTTTTTATTGACCTCTGTGCTGTTCTGGTCTAATTTAAATCGGATATTTCTTCATACTGTGTGCGTACATTTTGAAAAACCACTCTCATACTGATGTATGATTCAAATGGGAACGGTAAATACGTTTATTGTGGACATGGACCGAGTGATTTATTGTCCTGCCTGGATAATCTGTAGTGGTTGCCACATTGATTAACTGCACCTTAAACTTCTACACATAACAAGGTTCCATAGACAAGTCAATGTTTAATTTAAAGTTTTCCTGGTTAACAAATTAAACATTCAGCCTGCAAACTTCTTTGATAAAATGTACATGAATTCAGAGGTAAAATTTTGTTTAACAAATATGATCTACTGTATTTGAATATAAATGTAACATGACATGAGGGAAAAGCAGACCATAAAACTGTCACATGTCCACAGCACATCTCAGACAGACTCAATCTGAGATAAAGAAGAGAACCATTTAGCAGGTATTAATAACACAGAAATCATATTTTTTATTAATTTAATGATATATTTTATAGCTAGTTATACTTATATAGATAATATATTATAAGAGGGGTTATTGTGAAAAATCATCTACTTTGGACACTGTAAAATATATTTGATTACAAATGACTAAATACGATTGAAAAAAACCCCCACTCAATTATACAATTGTCTGTACTATTTACAGAATCAGAAGTGCCATTTTATGAACGAACAACTGTGCTTTAGCAATCTATTATTCCAGCATCATCAATTTTGAATTTGCATACATGTAAATTTGTTTTACTTTTTGGCTAAACCAAACTTTATTGACTTCAAAGAATAGTTAACCAAAAATGAAAATTCTGCTAGCTGAGCTACATTTTGAATGCGATGGTAACAATTTATAGTAAGAGCCCATTAGTTAGTTAGTTAATGCATTAAAAAATATAAATTAAAATGAGCAATACATTTTTAACAGATTTATTTAACTTTAAAATAAAAAATGCAACACACCACTGCAGCATCTGTTAGATCCCAGTCATCATCACACACTCTTCCCCACTGACCATCATGAAGAAACATTTATAGTGGTATGCATTTAAAATTGGTATGCGTTCATATATTTAAAATTATTTTAAATATGAATGTGCAAATGTGCTTGTTTGTCCTGTTTGCTGTGTTCACATATAGTGTGATATACAACTGACAATTCAAAGCTTTAGGCAAAACATTTTCTGAATAAATAATCAAACACAAAGAAGTTTTACAATGGTCCCTGCTTTCCCTGTTCATTGTGTGACGAAAAAAAGCGGAGCACCCAAAACAAAGTAAACAGCAGAAACAAAATATCAACTGAAGGCATGTTTTGGCCACAAAGATCCTCTGTGAAAGAAAAATCTTCTTTACATGTTAAATGTTTATTTGCTTTTTGATTTAATATATTTAATATATTTATACATCAACCTCTTAAAATAAGTAAGAAAATTTGCTTAAAGGGATAGTTCACCCAAAAATTTAAATTGTGTCATCATTTACTCACCCTCATGTTGTTTCAAACCTGTATGAGTTTCTTTCTTATGTTGAACATAACAGAAGATATTTTGAAGAATGCTGGTAATCAAACAGTTGATGGTCCCCATTGACTTCCATAGTATTTCTTTCCCTACTATGGAAGTCAGTGGGGACCAACAACTGTTTGGTCCTGCAAAATTCTTCAAAATATCCTATTTTGTGTGCAACATAAATACATTTATACAGGTTTGGAACGACATAAGGGTGAGTAAATGATGACAGAATTTTCATTTTTGAGTGAACTATCCCTTTAACTGTGTATTCATTTATATGGTGTTACATTTCTATACATAAACAAATTTATCCTGAGTAAAGCAGATTAATAAATTTTTTTCAAAAAACAAAAAACTGTCTTGGTCTTTCTCTCTTCCTGACTGTGCACCAGTACATTATATAACACATTTATTTTCCATATATACAATATTCTGTCATGCCCCTGGACTGTCTGTGTGTGTTTCTCTCCCCATGTGCTCTCCGTGACCTAGTTTTCCCTCTTGTTAATCATGTCATTTAGTTCAGGTGTGTCTTGTTAATTGTCCTCGTTTCCCCATGCATTTAGATCCCAGTCTGTGCTGTCTGTGTTTGTTGGGTCTCAAATCGTCATGTTCGTGCGTCACCAGCCATTCCTTGTTGTGGATGTCCCCTAGCTGTGTTCTGGATTGCATTAAAGCCTGTTCCTTGATCCACGTCTCCGCGTCATTCCCTCCGACACAGTTCCTGACACATTCAGTATTGTACGTAGAGTGAAGTAATCGAAAGATTAGTGTAATGTCATTATACTTACTATGTAAATGCATACTTTTGCACTTATACAGTAATATATACAGTACATAACTGCCCACATCTATACATAAACCTATTTATTTTTCTTAATTTTATTTAAATGTTCTTTCTTTTTTCCTGTGTTATATATGTATGTACGCAGAGCTCCTGGACACCACAACAAATTCCTTGTGTGTTTGCCCACACTTGGTGAATAAATCTCATTCTGATTCGGATTCTGATTATAATTAGGATTAGAGTCTGTTTTCTGCCTTTTCTGTCATTCAAAGAAGACCTGTGAATATAACAGGTTTATAATTTAAATCAATAATACATAAATGTTTACATATACAGTATTTTGAAAAGATAGTCCAACACCTCCTTTTACAAACCTGCGGCTGTTCTCTGCTGGTGGAATACCTGCTCATCAGGCTGTATTCTCCAGTTCACTTTATACGTCGCTTTACTTCCAACCACATTTCTAATCTGTGAAATTTGATGAAATTTTTGTAAGAAAACACCCAAGCCAGACTGACTACACTTATTGAACATTCCTTTTGACATTTCACTTCATCAAAATTTTAAACTTTGAATGAACTATTTTTATTGCAAAGATTGTTTGATAAAAGTTAACTTGAACCTTACCTTTTCCAGAAGGTTATTCTTGATTTGTGGATCATTCACATTGACACCAGTCTTTCACCACAATCCTCACTACAACTTTTCTCACAGTTTCTGTAAAGTAAGACATTGAGAAAGAAGAATGATTTGTCATAATGGCACCTTGTCATTGCATTTGTTAGGAAAAATGGTATGTGAATGACATCATTTTTAACCCTCCTGTTTAAAAACAGGGTACAACTTTTGTGTTGGGGTCAAATTGACTCACATAGTTTCGTTTCTGTGCAGTTTGAAAAAATAGGCTATGGAAATAATAGAGATTTTAAACTAAAGCTTCTAAACTATACTAAAGAAAACAGAAAACCTCTATTTTGGATTATCTGAGACTAAAAACATAAAATATGTAAGAAATCTAATAATTCATATATGTTTTTATTGTGTTTTTTTAATGTGCAAAATTATCTGAGGTGCAAATAACTATAAGCCCAAAAAAACCTTTTTTTCTTTTTAATAAAATAATAAATAACCAAAAACAACCTTTGAATCTCAAATAGAACACACATTTCATAAGTTCTCATGCATTTATATTTATGTTTTGTTACCTGACAAAACATAAAGTGTTCATCAGAGTGTAATTAAGTGTTAATAAAGTGCATATCAGAGTGTTAATTTTTGACAAATTGCATGAAGACCAATAAGGGTTAATGGAAGAGTCTGTATGACCCCAACACAAAAGTTTCCTAAACACATCTGTTTCGAAATTTTGCATGCACATTCATGACGCTAAACAAGAAATATTAACCAAATTTCAAGAAATAAATAGTTTAACCAGTATTTCAGCAGCAAAATCAAGTATGGGTCAAATTGACCCCAACACAACAGGAATGTTAAGCTGTACATTATTTGAGAGGCTCACATGTAAGTTGAACTTACTTTGGCAAAAAACTCCCGCATGAAGCCCATTCAAACAACTGCTCACACCCCATCCGGTAATAGGACAGTCCCGCACCGTAAACTCATTTCCTGTACAGGCCAGTTCATCCATCGATGTTTGCCCTGAAGTTTCCACATACTCTTTCAGCTCTGCAGTGTCTCCACAATCCAGCTCTCGACACAATGCAAATGCAAATCAAATGTGAATTATAGAAATGCTTTCATACACCATATACTCATATAGCTGTTAAGAGAAGATCTGTTACTATTCAAATATGAAAATATATTGATGGCATGACATTGAGTGGGCACGCAGTTTCATGAAACTCCCTTTACAAATTTCCGAAGACACATAAACTACATGGAAACAAAATGTAAACATTCACGAACGCTGGAACTCTAGATTTATTTGAGTTTACATGAACACACTAGCCAACCCATCACGCCAGTGAGGTTCTTATGCACGAGACAAAGTACTGATTTGGAATTTTCCATAGCCAAAATGTGAAGAAACTGTTTCTATTACATCTCAGAGTTAAACTTATATCTATGAGATGCAATAAAACAGGTCCTTCACATTTCGGGTATGGAAAATGATCTAAATATGTTAGATTAACAATACATTCATACAGCAAGTCATAAAGCTCAGATATTTATGATCAAACATTGATAAGGAGGAGATAAGCTTGTTGTCAGCTTCCTATAAGCTAATATTATGCTCCTGTAAACAAATTACATTCTGCAGAATTTCCCTTAAAGGGTTAGTTCACCCAAAAATGAAAATTAGCCCATAAATTACTCACCCTCAAGTCATCCTAGGTGTATATGACTTTCTTCTTTCAGACAAATCCAGTCGGAGTTATATTAAAAATTGTCTTTGATCTTTCAAGCTGTTTAGTGGCACTCAGCGGATGTTGCATGCTTCAGTCCAAAACAAATTAAATAAAAAAGCGCCCATCCATAAAAAAAAGTGTCGTCTCACACG